ATGAAACCACCAAGACCTCCCAAATATCCTCGCCTCCAGGAGCCAACAAGACCTCCAAATATCCTCGCCTCCATGAAACCAACCAAGACCTCCAATATAATCCTCGCCTCCAGTGAGACCAACAAGACCTCCAATATCCTCGCCTCCACCAACCAACAAGACCTCCAAATATTCTCGCCTCATGAACCAACAAGACCTCCAAATATCCTCGCTCCAGGACCAACAAGACCTCAAATATCCTCGCCTCCAGGAACCAACAAGACCTCCAAATATCCTCGCTTCCGGAACCAAAAGGACCTCCAAATATTCCTCGGCAGCCAACAAGACCTCTCAAAATATTCCTCGCCTCCAGGAACCACCAAGACCTCCAATATCCTCGCCTCATGAACCAACAAGACCTCCAATATCCTCCCTCCAGGAACCAACAAGACCTCCAAATATCCTCCAGGAACCCAACAAGACTCAAAATTAAGACCTCCCAAATTCCTCGCCCCAGGAACCAACAAGACCTCCAAATACCTGCTCCAGGAACCAACAAGACCTCCAATATCCTCGCCTCCAGGAACCCACCAAGACCTCCAAATATCCTCGCCTCAGAACCAAAAAGTCCTCAAATCCTCGTCCTCCAGAACCAACAAGTCCCCCAAGTCTTTCGCCATCCAACAACAAGTCTCCAAATTATCCCCGACTCCAGGAACCCCCAAGACCTCCAAATATCCTCGCCTCCAGGAACTACAAAATCCCCCAAAACCCGACCTCCAGACCTCAAATCCCCCAAATCCTCGCCTCCAGGAACCAACAAGAACCTCCAAATATCCTCGCCTTCCAGGACCAACAAGACCTCCAAATATCCTCGCTCCGGAACCAACAAGACCTCCAATATCTCCGCAATCAAACCAAAAAGTCCTCCGAATCCCGACCTCCAGGAACCAACAAGTCCCCCAAGTCTTTGCCATCAGAACCAACAAGTCCTCCAATATCCCGACCTCAGAACCCCCAAGACCTCCATAATCCTCGCCAGGAAACTACCAAATCCCCCAAATCCGACCTCCAGGACCTAACAAAATCCCAATCCTCGCCTCCCGGAACTACCCAAATCCTCCAAGTCCTCGCCTCCAGGAACCAACAAGTCCTCCAAGTCTCGCTCCAGGACCTAACAAATCCCCCAAATCCTCGCCTCCAGGAACCCCCAAGACCTCCAAAATCCCGACCTCCAGGATAACAAGTCCCCCAAGTCTTCGCCATCAGAACCAACAAGTCCTCCGCCCTCCAGGAACCCCCAAGACCTCCAATATAAATCCCTCGCCTCCAGAAACTACCAATCCTCCCCCCCTTCCCCCTTCCCCCCCCCTCCCCCCTCCTCCCCCTCCTTCCTCCGCTACAACTCAACTCGGCCTCGTACTCGACTCAACAAATGGAGCTGTTTGCCAACCGATGGCGCAGAAAACGGGCCCCGCTTATTAATTTCGGCGGAAACGGGGAAGCATTTCCTGCCTGTTTGTTTACGCATCGGTAATGTATTCCTATAGATGTAAAGAAAGGCTCCGAGATATGGGAGGAGGAGGGAAAGAGGAAGGGGTCAGGGTGTGGAGAGAGAGAGAGAGAGAGAGAGAGGGGGGGGGGGCGAGGAAATGAGTGATAGAGAGGGAGGGAGAGAGAGGAGGGGAGGGAGAGGGAGGGGAGGGAGAGAGAGAGAGAGAAGAGAGAGAGAGAGAGAAGAGAGGAGAGAGAGAGAGAGAGATGAGAGAGAGAGAGAGGAGAGAGAGGAGAAGAGAGAAGAAGAGAAGAAGAAGAAGAAGAAGAAGAAGAAGAAGAAAGAAGAAGAAGAAGAAGAAGAAGAAGAAGAAGAAGAAGAAGAAAAGAAAGAAAGAAAGAAAGAAAGACAGTCAAACAGAAAAAAAAAACACAAACAGACAATCACAAATAAACAAAAACAGACATAGACGAAGGCAAAGAGACACGGGATAATTAACCACTTGGAACCAGAGGGAGAAATAACGAGAACAGACAGAGATGACAGATTGAGACAGACACCACTAAAAATATTATACAGAGGCTTATGAAAAAAGAAGAAGAAGAAGAAGAAATACAGAGGAAACAAATAAATATTAATTTAAAAAGTCACATATNGAGCAGACGACGTGGAAGGTCTGGGGAAGGACCAAGTCCAACAACGGACTTTGAACAGGTGAAAAGATAGAGCAGAATATATATATATATATATATATATATATATATATAATTATATATATATTATATATATATATATATGTTATATATAAAGAGAGAGAGATATAGATATACGTTATATATATATATATTATATATATATATATATATATAATATTATATATATATTATATATATATATATATATACACACACACATTTACAATGGAATGGAATACACTGCCGCAGGTTCAAATCCTGGTTAGTGAGGGCGAGTTATTCGTTTCATTTTCGAAATAATTAAGTATATACCTTTACATATATATATTAT